CATGCAAACCAAATTACTGTACCTTAATGAAAGTAGTAGGCTTAGAGCCTTGGATATATGAATATACATACCTGGAGCTGAAGCAGGTTTTGGTGGTAGGGGTGCGTGAGAATCCATACCACGTCAGCGCCATCATGGTTGGGGTTGAAATGAGAACATTTTGAGAATATGGACCTTTAGATGCCTGGAAATTGCACTCTCATATACCTTACAAATCATACCGGTAATTCATATCAACAATAATACAACAATTATTTTTCTTAATACGATTTACAGGGGTTGCACCGTCTGAGCCCCCAACCCCGGCAACCACCCCAGCATTCATCACCTCGTATAGCCTATTTCTAGTCACGATGAAGCCATCAAACGACAAGGCTTAGACTTCCTGTATATTATTTTTATTATACATTATACAGTATTCCGAATCGAAAAGATGATTCAATGTTAAACATCCGTCTCTTACGTAAACATGCCTTCTTTAAACATTGTCGAACTTCTTGCAGAGAAAACAGATGTTTCTATGTTATTACCATATATAGACATGAGCAGCAAACATAGGACCTGTCGCACATAATCACATCCTACAGACTGGCACGCATAGGCCAAAATATGTGATGTGGTTGGTTTAATTTTGGGACAAGAAAATGTTTGTGGTTCATCCCCTTACTATTAAAAACAAAAACAAAAAAATAAAAAAAACCCTGTTGTATTTGGCGTTACAGATTCGATATCTGCAGCTAAGATAAGCCTAATGTATAACCATGTTAGGCCTATAACACAAGCGGCTCAAAGGTAGACCCTACTACAAAATTAATTTTTAAGCCTATTTTATTCCGATAGGCTACATTTCGCTGTATTACAATTAGGCCTAATCTGTTTTAAAATCTCTTGATTCCAAGAATATACATGAATACCGTACCAACTGGCCCGGCACACACCCGATGTATGATTCTTGATTTAAAAACAGTTCGGTTTAACTATAATGTAATTTGTTATTATGGAATTGAACATATAGTAGGCCATTAACAATAGGTCTATCTTTGATTTTGGGCGCCTGTTGATAACGTCAGGATGATGATGATGATGATGAAGAACTATTAACAGGGCTGACGCGATACCGGAACATGATGACAATACGATATGTCTTTGGTGATTTTGTTTTTTAATTTGTGATTGTAGATTCTACAACACTGCACTGTATTTGTGTGCCCTCAACAGTTATCTGATACACTATCGTATCTTCATATAAAATAACCCGTAAAAGTTTGCCCAGGCTCTGTGTTCTTTTTTGCCAATTTCAAGCTGCTGGTCTTGTTCTTATTTACACACTTTTCGAAGATGGAAAATTATAATACAGCAGTATAGCAGTATCTACTGTACTGTATTATAAAGGGTAACATAGTCCTATACACATTTTTTTTTTAAATAAAAACCAGTATAGGCCTACCATTTTATTGCTGGCATAGAGTAGTGTATTACTGTACTGTACTAGAGGGTATTAAGCCTATATTCACACTTACTGCACATAAAGAACAGATAACAATTTGTAGTGTTTTTTTTTTTTCTAAAAATACTATAACTTCATTTGACATTTTACCTCAGCTCTCAATTTGTAATCAACTTCAGCTTCAGTGTTTCTATAAAATGTGTTGTTATAAAAAAACATAGTGTAGTGCATTAATGGAGTAGTGTTGATATAACCTGTTATAACCTGATATAACCATTGATACCTTAATGTATTTCGCTTCATTGTTTGTGTGTTTCTAGTTTTTTTAATAATAGAAACGTCATTTGACATTATTATTCCTAGCCTCAATTTTTTCTTTTATTGTTCTTATTTTTAAGCATTGTCAGCCTTGGTGTGTTCTTGTTAATATAAAAAAGTGTAGTAATATATATAATCGCATAATTTAAGTTCACGCCTTCTTCATTGAAATAACAATGTACAGTATTACAGTGTTTGTCCGAGTTCTTAATGCTATTCTAATGTGTTCTTTAATACTTATACATTTCCTGACCACTTGTCTTTAACGAGAACGGCAATTTACAATTAACACCGCATCTGCCTTTCGACATCATTAGAACTTATCTCCAGCCCCATGACCTTGCCTTTCAATCGGACAGGTGATGGCTACCTCTCCTTAAAACGACATTCCACCATGTAGATCCAGGTTGATATTTTGCCTATTTCGCATAGCAGGAGCACCACTAAAACATGTACGGAGCCAAACTCTCCATCAACCACTAGGTTTGTGACCATATTTGGAAGTGAGTCGCACGCGAACAGATTACTCTCGGCACGAGAGTAAAGTGGTAGGCAGCAAACGCCGATAACACGCTCGCCTAGGCCAACAGGCTTGGTTGGAAATGTTAGACAACTGATAATGTATTTAGATAGATGCATACCGTATTCTCTATTAATTACCGGTATGAGATGATGTTTAAAGATGTTTAATATTAATGTTAATACATATTTTAATTCACAGAAAATTATCTAGTGGCTTTATATATTTTATTGCACAGGCTAAAACTTTGACGTGTCTTAAATTATAAAAATGACGATGATAGGCCTACACACTATATATTTGTACATCGATATTTCTTTAAGTCCTTCGACCTTTCTCATCATGAATCATTAGATTATTGAATACTGTAGGCTATAAACTTAAATCAGTAGTTCACGAATACGTTACTTAGCTGCAAGTTGTGGTCACTGCTATGCCTGAACACACACACACACACACACTACACACACACACACACACACACACACACACACACACACACACACACACACACACACACACACACACACACACACACACACACACACATAAAATAGTTTACTCGTAATTCAGCTAGGCCTAAATATTATTAATATGAACAGGCCTGGAACTAATGATTTACTTTAAATAATATTTTATTAATTGAATCCACTGAACTTCAAGATCATTTGAGTTTCATTTCAAATCCTTGGTAGGAGTTCGTATGTTCGTATGAGGCTGGGGAGGAGTTGTTTGTAATATAACTTTCAGGATCGAGCCCTACCTTCAGATTGTATGGCCGAGTAACTTTATCTCCAAAATCACACTTTCATCCACGCACAGTCAGGGCCTAGAAACACCGATTTTTAATACGGTCAATCAATGCTTTTGACGGAAAGAAAAAAAATCTGCCATACGCCTCTGATATTAATGCTAATGAAATATAATTCAACGTGATTATGAATTCATGTTTATACTGGTAAGAGGATGTTCATATTGTGTTCACAGTTGTATCCATGGCGTGCTCATATTAAATAGCAACTCACCAAGTTGTCTTCAACAGGTGCATAGCCAAGGGATATCCCGGCAGAAGAGCTATTCTTTGGATATTCATATGAGCTGTCATTAATATTGAAGCCCTGTAAACTAATTACAACATCTGTTGTTAGTTCAAAATCTCCTGCCTGCTTCTTTCACTATCGTATATAGTGTCTTCTGGCGCGAAATATTAACCCTGCAGCTAAGAAAGAGAATAATATATGTATTCATGAAAATAATAGTATAAATATGTAAATTTTCTTCTCTTTCTTTTAATTTTCTTTTCTTTTTTCATTATAATTATTAATGTTAATGAAACATTGTTAAAAATTGATAAATTGATAAAATTATATAGCATTTAAATGAGTTGATTAAGTTACCTCAAACGTTGAAACAACAGCGCCGCTTACGGTTCAACTTATTTGTACCGCAAGAATACGGTACAGAACACAATGTTTACTCGATCACCAATTTATCTTCACTTTGCTATCAATGCTATACCCGAAGAGAGGCGGTTGTGCTACTACAAGTATCGGAATGCTCGGCATTTTGAGTGTCGAATGTTATGGCATACGCTAAAATATTTTCTGACTCGTGTGTCTGATTTATGTGATCGTGGCTGAATTAGACAGGCAACACGCGCTCATCATATTTATTATCCTTCGACCAGCGTTTCATCGCCAAGTTCAGCCGACAAAAAGCTTTGGTTATCATTGCAAATGTACACGCAAAACACAGTCGGTGACGAATTGTCGACTCCCTTAAAATCATTTTAAACGTCAGACTGATCAGGAAACGTTCGATTTATATCAACAAATATAAAACGCTTCCGTCTGTTATTTCTCCCTTGAGGATAAATTCATATGTGTAACTACCATAAAGTACACATGAGGATGGCATGAGTAACGTTACCTATAATTGGGTTGACTAGGAACAGTTCCGGAACTATAGTAAAAAATATGAACTCGGCGGAAATCGCGCAATTTAACAATAAACTATAGAATTATTTCATTAATACACGTGTTTTTACCTCCATTTATCAATATTTATATGGTTTGCCCTCTTATTGTATTGTAATAATACAGAATACAAAATGCGAAATGCACAAAAACTTTATTTTAGTAACATTACGCGTCACCAAACAGTTTTTATTATTGTAAAATATCTTAAGATTTATTTAGTTTGCAATAAACTTTAATTAATATTTAGAACAACAATATTAATGTAAAGCCTTTAACCTTTTATTATCCCATTGATATTTGATCCAAGACTACCGTTTGATAGATCTACCATCAGGTATTCTACCTGTGATATATAATTATTAAATGAGGCGGCTTTCCACACCAAAGTTGACATCTTATTTAATCATAAATATTATAGGCCTATAGATAAGCACATTACGAACATTATGGTTTGTAAAATACATGATAGTTAACTTTGGTATGGCGATACACCCCCATTGGTAATAAATAAGCATGTACATTTTTGAAAAAAAAAACAAAAACGTATACGTAATGTTTTCCTCAAAAATGTATTATGATGATTTGTGGATGGGGAAAATACACGCGTAGGCGTGGTTGTCACAGCAACTTTGACGAAAGCAGGTTGTGGTTAAATTCAAGCGCTTTGATTGAGTGTTACTGTAGGCTACTTTGTCGTAGTCCATGTTGTAATCACGTGACCTTTTACATTTCACAGGCTATCCATCTGAAGCTACTCAGGTTTCTCCTGTACTGAACAAGAAAACCAACCAATCGTCAACCTCGTCATCAACTCAGACCAAGGCACGTCAATTGCAATTTCATGTCGTTGATCCACATGAACTTGTAGAAACTAAGAATCCGCGTGGTAGAGGGCGACCTCGTCGATCTCCGAAGAAGTTTTCCCCTGATGAACCAGAATCGTCAACCCGATCGGTGTCAAATAGGAAGAGACAAACAGTTGTAATAAATAATAGTCCTACTCATCATCATTACCAGCCGAATTCAACGTTTGAAATTCTTAATGGACAGAGTCTAAATCATTTCGCTAAACATATCGGCAATCAGTTTCGGCAACCGTCCTCACCTCCAGCCGGAAGTCAAGCAACTGACGTCCCACTCTTACAGTTTGGTTTATATGGCACTCGTTTCGAGACGGCCGTTACTACATGTGATTTGTCTCCCAACAAACCTACAGAAAATGCTGAGATTCCTTTTATATTCCCAGAGAACTGCTCCGAAATATCAACATCAAAAGATGGACAGACAGTTGTAAAAACACTAACGCAGTTGCAGAACGTAATCACACCTCACGAAGAGGATCATGGGAGAACGGATATAGTAGCGTATAATGAACATCTCGGTCTTGAAACCCTCAGCTCAGTAGCAATAGCCAAAAGTTTAGCAGACTCCAGTCTCCAAGCGTCAAATACGTGTAATAAAAAAGCTGTGAATTCACATGAATGCCCAGAATGCGGCAAACGGTATAGCACATCGAGTAACTTAGCAAGGCATCGCCAGACACATCGTAGTCTATCTGACCAGAAAGCAAAGAAGTGTCCACACTGTGAAAAGGTGTACGTTTCTATGCCAGCATTGAGCATGCACATAAGGTAAGCACTGTTCCTTTAAAAATTCTTTAAGAATTTTAATTCATGTTTCTTTAGCTATTTTTAAAAATTTTACACGTTGTTTTAAGCCGGTTACTCACTGTATGCGACGGCAACGCGCGACGAAGAACGCACGCGAAGACGCGGACCCAACGGATCGTCTTTTTAATGAGGATCCGTACAGATTGCCACTGACAATCAGCATACGGCGTTGCGTCGTCTGTCGCTCGCCGGAAGCGAATGTGGATTCGTCGTGCGACGGTCGACGACCGTCGTACGACGCAGTGAGTGTCCGGCTTTACCTTCTCGAACTTTTGTAATTGTAACTGTTACACGATCGAACAAGTGAGATATTTTGTACTTTATACTGTGTATTTATATGTTGTCTATATTTTTATCATGCTGTAAATTTTTGCAATTTCGAGAATAAATAAAGTTATGAATGAAATTAACAACCAAATAGGCCGTATGATTTAAAGTCTGAGTCTTTGTAAATTTTTATTTATTTATTACAAATTCGAGTAGATATATGACCAGGAGGGTGTCTAGTGATAACATGGGCCAACACATCAAGTAGTCATCTTCAAACTCTTAGATTTTGCCTCAGAGTCATCACCTATCAAATTTTAAACCTATTCTCACAATTACGTTAAACTCTTCGGTTGTCTCTGTTGTCCTCAGAACTCACAAGTTGGGATGCAAGTGCCAAATCTGTGGAAAGTGTTTCAGCAGGCCGTGGTTGTTGCAGGGTCACATACGCACACACACTGGAGAAAAACCTTTCCGTTGTCCAGAATGTGGCAAAGCTTTTGCCGACAAGTCCAATCTCAGAGCTCATAAGCAGGTAAACCAGTCAGCCCTGTTTCTTATTTTGCTGATTTTACTTACCTTAAATCTTTCCACATAATTTACTGAAGTTATTTTTATCAATCAATCAATCAATCAATCAATCAATCAATCAATCAGTCAATCAATCAATCAATCAATTAATCAATCAATTAATTAATTAATCAATCGCAGAAATTCCACAACAGACCAATGTATTGATTGCTGTGCTCATATCATAGGCCATTATAGGTACATAGTAGTTTTAACATGACTATTCATTTTATCTTTGCAGACGCATTCAAACGTGAAGCCGTATATCTGCAAGAAGTGCAATAAAGCTTTTGCTTTAAAAAGCTACCTTTACAAGCATGTAGAAACAGCTTGCATTCGAGACGTAGACGCGCGCTTGTATGAGAACGTAGCAATGGCAACGGCACAAGTTAGTTGATCGGCCCATCAAGAAACACAATACAATCCCAGTAAAAAGAAAGGTTAAATTTCTAATAAATAAATAAATGAATAACAGTATCTATAATAAATTTGGGAAACTTTATTGTCTTTCATTGTTATTTATGCTAGAATCACCAATCATTTACTTCGTAATATTAAACAAATTGCTCCATCTAGCGCCCCTCACTTTGCGTGCCCAAATAAGATCCTCAAAATGATACCCCTCTACGTCACTGTTATTAACACTGTTAAATTAGACATGTTTCATTTGTTTGAGTCAATTGATTTTTTTTATTACAAATCTCATTTTACTTCAAAATCGTAATTATATAGAAGCCTTTCACACTAGATAATAGGCAGTTTTCGCCGCACGACGTTAACCTTAACTTTAACGTTAGTACCCAACATACAGCGCGATAGCTCCGCCCCTTTTGTAAAGAAATCGAAATACGCATGTGCAGACCCGTAACAAACGTACGTCGAGCACGTAAAATCCGCAACGCAAGATGAATACATTATGACGTCATCCGTTAACGTTAAGGTTAACGTCGTGCGGCGAAAACTGCCTAATACAATAGTGAAAGCTGTAACGTATATGTTGTTAATTGTACAATAATTATGTTTGTGTGTTTGCTGTGAATCGTTTTACCAAATTTTTTGATGTAGGAATCATTTTGTCTATCGATATTAGATTCCATTGTTCTCTTAATTTATTTGAAATATTTCAACTTAGTATTGTGAATTTTAGTTGCAATTGATCATCTTAGGTGAAATAAGTAGGGAATTTTGTGCATATTTTGTTATAGTAACAACAATATTCTAGAGAGTTTAGGTTAATCAAATGTGTTCATCAATCAATGCTGTAGCCAGGATTTTCAAACCGGGGATAATAATCATGGTGGCTCCACTTAACGCATTGAAATTTAAAGAGTGTGAACCCATTTTCCTAAACGTGGAGCCAATATACGCATAATATGAGAACTCTGTATTAATTTTTCAAATTTTTCATTTTGTGCATAAAACAGCATAATTTAGACCTATTTTTAAAAATGTGGACTCATTCTTTACATAATAATGTGGACCCAATAGAAACATTCTGCGAGGCTGTCCCAATTGTCCCAATAGCTGGCTACGGCATTGTCAGCAATACTATCATAGGGACTACCTTGCTGTTTGGATTAATGCTGTTTTGGTAATGGATTAAGTATTGATACTGTATCAACTTTGCAACAACTCAGATATGCGTGTTAAAACTATAATTTTAGTGAGTGTACCGCTCTGAGACCTTCAAACAATGTATAAGTGCTGCGGTCTATATTCGGTCATTTACGGTAGGCCTAATTTTGCTGAGCTTTCTTATAAAAAAGGCCTAATTTTTAAAGGTTTATGTAATATATGGATTTTACCTGTAGTTAAGCTTGAATATTTGATACACTGATTGATAATAAAAGACAGTAAACAGATTAAAGACATTTTCTTTTATTTTGTTTTGTCATCCTTTCTGGTGGCGTTTAGATGTCAGGTTTTTGCTCATCCGTTTGGTTTCTCCACCCGGGCCGGTCATCTACTTCTTTACACAACTCTCTCCTTATTATAGTTATGAAATAGCATTTCAATACATCTTTCAAACAGACCAGGTTCCTCGTACAAGGCATATTCCCAATTTACTCCAAGCTCCTGTGTATCCCTTATAGTAAAATGCAGTAAACTTTCTTCGCTTCTATACAGTAAGTGTTCACATCTGAAGATGTATTATTGGTTCAGTATTATTATTTATCAGAATCATTCTCTATACCTCGTCTTTTTAAAATTTGTAGTCCTTTATTCAGTCGGTTTCATCCAAATACTGTACCAACCATAGCTAGACCCTAGGCCTAAAAACCTTTACTCAATATTCAAGCAAGCAAGCTTAAATTTCCTGGCAGTGAAGGTAAATTCACACACAACGGGGTTGGACATTTCCTATCCGAGGATACAAGAAATTCTTCAGGAGTGGAGAAATTTTATTCAGAAATCGAATGGAAAATTTCCTCACGGGATAATTCCTATTTTCTGCAGCAATGAAATATCAATTAGTCCTGTAGGCCTACATTAAATCTCACTATCATAGGTTACTGGTTACTCCGGCACCCTCAGACCTATTGCTTTCCATATCAAATCCATGATTAAGATAGCCATTATTACGTTTATTAAATGGAATATCTGTTAAGTATATGTTCTCAATGTTCTTTGACATTGAATTATCTCCCATAGGCCTATTTGCCACACTTTCAAAGTGATGGACATGGTTGTCATTGTTTTCGCTTTCGTCTCTTGAAACAGTCAAGATGATATTGGGTTTAACAATATTCTTTGCATCTGTGGAGAAAAGATAAAACATACTACGGTACGTAATTTCCATAATTCTGTACAGACAGGCCTAATTTAAAATTATTCTGTAATGATATACTGTCTGTCATGAGTCTTACCATGTGGATCCTTTAGCACTGGCGAATTTGAGTCATTGGTAGTTATGTAGTGTTTTAGCCTAGGCGGTGGGTGTTTAGGCGCCCGGATCGTGCTCTTCCTTTTCCATTTCTCTTTCCTTGGTAAAGCTCCAGGCGATTTGCGTGTTTCATGCCGAAGAGCGGAGATGAAATATAACAGGGAGGCGAAAAGAAGTGATACACCGCCCGTCAGTGTAGGCAGACATCCTCCACACGGCAAACACAAACTACGTACAAGAAATATAAATTCTAATTTGCAAAGATAGACATTTTAAATATTCAATATTAAGCAATTATTGTAAAGTCTAGACCACTTGGAAATTAATGAGCCGAAGGAGTCAAGTGGCTGAAAACAAAATTTGAAGGCAGTAATAGCTCCAAGGGGTTAATATTTATAAATTATTGTCCAAAATAACTTTACAATAGCTGCTTTATTAAAGTTATCACATTTACACCTATATAATCTAGCCTAGGATATTTAAGAGACAACAGGTTCTTTATGTCGGATAGATTGAAATGCTGACATTCAATAAGTTATCAGTTTTAACTAAAAACTAGAACGATTTCAAAATGAGTAATTAAAAGAATTATTATATTTTTGAAGCTTTTATCTACAATATTTTGAGAGGAAGCACATAATTTTTAAATTATTAGACCTATCAAATGATCGTGTTAAAAGGGAATTAAAATCAATGATTATAACCACAGATAAATATTATAAAACTGAACGAATGAACCAATCAGAGGAAAAACCTAAGAAGGGATAAAATTATTGTTTTATACGTACAGTTATGGTTACAGATTGCTCATTTTATTTATAGATTTCATTTCAGAATTTATTCTCATAGGCCTACATGTGAAGGTTACTTCACTAAATGATAAAATCCCAGTACATTTTGGCATGTTATTGTCAATAAAGTCATCTTGAATTTAATTCTTTTTTACAAATTACGGAAATATTTATTAGATCAAAGACATACAGGAGATAAACCACAGCGCGAACACCGTAACTGTCGAAAAATATTCCACTGATGATGGAGACAAATGGCTCGAAAAAATCTTGACCTCTGAAAAAAATACATTATGGTTGTTATTACAACGATAAACATCTTGGCTTATAAAATTCCTCTTATATTTTTAGATTATAACATCCTATTATTGGCGACTTTTGTCGCTGTCGCATTTTATGATTACATTATAGAAGACGAATACTTTCAAACTGTTATCCTTCAATTATTACTGTTTCCAATGAAATAGTTTTTACACGAAATATTCAAAATAATTTTTATTCTGAATTGCTAAAATAATTACTGGTCTTACCTTCTTCGTATACAAACAGAATCTTCTCGATATCCGCGTGGATATTCATAAATAGTAATAAAGCAACCGATGAATCTAAACATACTGATAAGGAATCAAGCATAGGCCTAATAATTATTTAAAGCAACTTCCCAGTCGACTAAACTGGTGTTAGCCACTAAGTGTGCGCAGAACCATGGAAGTCTCTTGGTCTCCTGTTCAATTCCCTTTCGCTATTTTCCTTGTATTTCAGTTGGAGGACCGAATGCAAGTTTATATACAGCACAGTGGATGTTTAAACTGTTGGCCCCGTGTGCATTGTGGCCTATGTGCACGTTAATCACAGTATTGTGCACTCTTCTGTAAAGAGTATGGGATTGTCTCATAGTGCACTAGTGCACTGTCCAACCACGACCAGAAGGATCCCACTGAAATTAAATCTTCTTCAGACTTTCGTGGGCTATCTTTGGTGTTCACACCGAATAAATCCATCCATCTGTATAATAGTATACTACTATTTTCAAGCTTTGAAGGCACTGATTGATAAAAGTAGCCGAAAAGCCGTTATTTCCAGAAAAAAAAAAGAAACTTCTGAAGTTCTGCACGGGCTGAAGGCAAGTTCGGAAAGAATATTGTATCTATTTTACAACAGCGACTGAAATAACTTGATGAAAATAACAATCGTCAAGTCATATCTCATTTAAGATATATTTGGATTGAACTTTAAGTCACCGGTCCCTTTTTATATAAAGGCTATGTACACAAATATATTCTATCATAATCAGGTACATTATTTACCTAGTGTTCTGATGAAATATTCACTTCCTGGTTTCCATGCCTCTTTAGATGTCACACTATCACAACATGTGATTTGATGAAAATGATAATGATCAATGATAATAATGATGATGAGGAGGATAGTGATTATGATGGTGATGTTGATAGTAATGTTGATGGCGATGACGATGACGATGACAATGAAGATTGTGATCATGTTGGTGATGAAAATAATAATAATAATAATAATAATAATAATAATAGTAATAATAATAATAATAATAATAATTTTGAAAATAATAATAATAAAACAATGATTAATAATATTAGATATTCTTATCGTTGAAACAAAGGATACATAGCATACACACTGCAAATCCAACCTGAGAAATTGAAAAGTCCAACAATTCCTCCAATCAAAATAACTGAAAACCAAACAATGATAATAATTTAGTGTCATAATTCGTTATGGAAATACATCCATTATAAATCACACTGGGCTTAACAAAACAATAATAAATCTAAATGTACACAGCCTATAGGCTGTAAAGTGTTTACACTAACACTTAAAACATATTACATTACTTTTTATAAACAACTTAACTGCCGTATAGCTTAATTTAAGCAGTCGATTGACCAGAGGATATTTGCATAAAAGGGGTTTTGTGTAAATAGATAATCTAATTTAATAAACTTGGTATTCACAAGGCGGATATCATTAGGAAAAAGGAATTACTATGGCTTATGTTTGTTTTTTTTCCCTTGGTTGTTACCAGCCGACCAGAACGGCTTAAACTTATATAATGGTTCAATGGGAGGCTTTCGTTCGTTCATATTGAATTAATCACCAGGGCTTTATAACATAGCTACATAATCTATTACGTATTATCAATGACTTTTAATATTTCATTCCCGACTTCTTTTTTTTTTGACAAATATGTCACTGTCTTTTACAGTGGAATCCAGGAATTCGAAATAAAGGGGGCCCAAGTAGGGACTTTCGCAGATAGAGGATCCACCCACCTCAGCCCCACCATGGTTGGGGCAGAGGAACGGTAAGCAAAATTATGATTATGGCCATAATCAGATACGGCACTCTCAGACTCAGAATTTGAATATAATTTATTCCCTCTATTTTTTTTATAATTTTGAAAAGTTTAGCGGGTGGGGGGGGGGGGGCGTGACCAGAGGATATTTGCATAAAAGGGGTTTTGTGTAAATAGATAATCTAATTTAATAAACTTGGTATTCACAAGGCGGATATCATTAGGAAAAAGGAATTACTATGGCTTATGTTTGTTTTTTTTCCCTTGGTTGTTACCAGCCGACCAGAACGGCTTAAACTTATATAATGGTTCAATGGGAGGCTTTCGTTCGTTCATATTGAATTAATCACCAGGGCTTTATAACATAGCTAAATAATCTATTTCGTATTATCAATGACTTTTAATATTTAATTCCCAACTTTTTTTTTGACAAATATGTCACTGTCTTTTACAGTGGAATCCAGGAATTCGAAATAAAGGGGGCCCAGGTAGGGACTTTTGCAGATAGAGGGTCCACCCACTTCAGCCCCACCATGGTTGGGGCAGAGGTGGGGCAGAGGTACGGTAAGCAAAATTATGATTATGGCCATAATCAGAAATGGCACTCTCAGACTCAGAATTCGAATATAATTTTTTCCCTCTATTTTTTTTATAATTTTGAAAAGTTTAGGGGGAGGGGGGCAGGCCGCCACTCTCTTTCACACATATTGTAAAAACCTGACAGTCGTCGGAAGCCTTTTTTCGGTGAAAACTTTAACTGTGTATTAAGCCATGTAGTATAAAGGCAAATAATAAAACCAAATAAGTAGGTTTTATTCATTAGTGAATAACTTTTTATTTCTTGTGTTTTTCAACTTTGTACGGCGCTTTGGTCTTTGGAAAAGCGGTTAATGTGTCCTGTAATAATATTAATAAACAGTATTACATCAAACATCTGCGTCAGTCATAAAAGCTGTCATCAATTGAAAAGATGTTAAAATAATACTGAGAGGATGTACTCACCTACACCACTAACTAGCGCATGCTCATTAGCCCACATGGCATATTCTGTTCTTCTGAGGTTAACATTCTTTGCATCAGTCATGTTGACTGTCTTTGATGAAACATAAAATTTAACTGCGAAAATGAAATATACCATTTGCTGTTAACTTCCAACTAAGTATAATTATGTAATCTTAATTATGGGACTACTTGCTTGTCTAACTTCTGTGTGTCTTGGCGTTTGTTATTTTAGTAACAGATTTTAAAGCAGCTGAGTCTGTCAATCAATCTGTAATTCATTCATTCAATTAATCAACCAATCAATAAATAAATCAATCAATCAATCGAGTAATCAATTAATCAATCAACAAGTTTATCAACCAGAGCCGTATCTAGGGGAGGACGCGGGGGGAAGGACGCGCGTTCCCCAGTCACACCACCCTAAAAAAAAATCACGAACAAGTAGTTCAAAATCACCTAAAATCACCATATTTTGCGAATTAGCGCCCCTCAACTGATCATCGAGCCGCCTCCCCCTTCTTCACCTTCGCACCCCATCACCCCCCTCCCATTTCCAGACCTCTAGATACGACACTGCTATTAACCAACCAACCAAACAATCTCTCAGTTAATCAGTATCATTTTGTACACATCAATGGACATTTCTAGATACGAAAATGCGAAATTCGGAGGTTGTGCTCCCTTAACATAACTTAAATATTAACTTATCTACACAGCTTAGCTCAGTCGGCTAATCTGTTGGTGGCCACTGTGTATACGCTGAACCGTGGAGATCTCTAGGTCCCTGGTTCAATTCCCATTGCTGCTCCTTTCCTTGTGTTCAGCTGAAGGGTTGAAATACAAGTTACAATAGCGCACCGCATTTCGGATGAGACGTTTGCATCTAAGTGCATTTATGGCCCATAAGAACGCAGTACGCGCTTCGGAAAAGAGTAGGGAATTGTCTGCCGGTGTAGGCCTACCGCCCAATCACCACCAGAAGGACCCCATTGGAAATAAGTCTTCTTCTAGACTTTCGTGGGCTATCCTTGGTGTTTACACCGAATAAATCCAATCCAATCCAAAGCACTTGACCACATATTAACTGGTAGCGAATTTTCTGTACCGTAGCTCTGATTATGAAGAACGTTTCTTGGTGTGAGGGTCGATAATGAGGATGATCACATTATTTACCAACTGCCGCTTTTGATCTTGAAAAAGACGTCAATTAAATGGACCTTTCCTCTAAGCCTTGCTCCTTGGATATTGTTGCTAAGGTCCCACAAAAACGACAGTGTAAAAGCATACGCAAATACGTGCGTATCACTGACCCTGTTCTGATTGGTCAGCTACGGAGAGCTCTATTTTCATCAACTTGCTATCACTTTCTAATATAAGTGCATGAAAACAACTTGTACGCATATTTCATTAAATATTTCGGTTTTTCAAATCCTGCGATCTCAAATGGCATAATTAGGCCTATATCATGTGAAAAGAAGTCTGTAAATTGTACATAATTATTAGGATACCTCATGTAGGCCAGCTGTCTCTTTTACTCCTGTTCCCCATGAGTTGTTCTATAGGTCAAACCTCTTGACCAACACTTGCAAACTTGCTATCTTTTAGACCGTATTATCTAACTGGCCTACTGATTTGCTGACTCGGTATTCAGTAATTTCAGATTCATTGTCTATCAATTAATATGTATTTTCTATATCTGCACGGTAACCTTCAATTTTATTCAATTATTTATTGTCGCCGTCATGAGGTATTATCCTTTTAAAAACCATTCATACAGAGGTGTTTATACAACAAAAGACATGATAACAAAATAAATCAACCTAAAAGTATGCACAAAAACCCATAGACAGTAAAGTATTATTGGATATTGAATTCCTGAAAGCTGTACAAATTAAAAGGTCAGAGGATAAAAGAAGAAATGAAAACGACGAGATATTTGACCATTAATGAGAAACAAAAAATACATCATAGGCCTAAATATCTGAGCGCAGGAGATAAAGGCAATGTGGGAATGTAGTGTTGTAATAACCTTAAAAATTTTGATTAGTTTTAAAAGTAATAATGTGGAAATGGATAAAAGTGTCATGATATTTAATGTGACAGTAGGGAGCACAGCAATGTTTCAGCCGATTTCGGCCAAACTGCAACAGAGGCGCACGCGACGGAATGTTTTCAACACAATACCGTACACTTCCACTGACAATCGGCAGACAAAGTTGCGTAGTGAAGCCTTAACACAGACCGGAGATGGATGTTTGGCCACCGGCCGGTGACTGATGCCAGTGATGACTTTCTTTTTTTTTCTTCATATTTTACCTTCAGAAAAAAAAAAGGGGGGGGGGGGGGGGGGGCGCCCCGCGCCACATAAATCCGCCTCTGAAATAAAAGGTTTTCACACTCTTACACACTCATGGTTCATTCTCCTTTTTGTGACATTAGCCGTTCCATTCTTACGTACCGTAGGCCTACACGGGGCAGTTTCCGTTGTTGAACTGATCATAGAGCCTATCCACTCCAATTCATAAGCCTCGAAGCCTCATAAGCCTTATAGAATATCATTGCAACAGGTCTCACATGAGCGGGCCTTACAGGGTGCATGATTATGATGTCTGAAAAGAGGCTCCGGTGAGATCTTTGTGCTAAAAGGGATATTTTCCCTAGAGTTTTTGAACGTTAGTAAAGTTTTAGGGCACTAATTAACCGAGGCCTCAAAATTGTTGGTAATTTTCAAACTGGCCGCCGTCCAAAACATTGCGAGTTAAGTTAGTGCTTTCGACAAAGTCACGTAAATTCTGGGTTACAAACACCGGCAATTCACAATACCAAACAACCGTAGACTGGACACATTACTAGAACAATTGCTAGGTTCCATCCACAACAGCTCTGCAAACAACCTTACGTCTATGTTAAACGTTTTTCTTAGCTAAATCCTTAACTTTCTTCCTTTAGTTTAGTTATGGTTCTACTGTTATACTTTTGCGACTTTTCATAATTGTTGATACCGAATCTGCAAATATTAGGTTAAGGTTAATCAGATTTAGCACAAAATTCCACAGAATTATATCAACCTGCATATAATACGAAGCAGATAATAGTACCATAACCGACAAAAACGTTATAATAATCTAATTAACAAGCTATCGTGAATTTGTGCTTACTTTACTCCTCTCTATTCCTTTACCAAACCAAGGAAATCACGAACCACGGTATCCTACCGGTATGCCGAATCCGTTACGTTTGCCTCAATCCCTTGTCATATTGAAATGGTGTATTAGGAGAGTAGAATAACACTGAAATAATATGGTTAAGATCAATATAACAACACAACCATTTGAATTGCTACGTTAATAATCCATAATTGGTATTGATCTTTTCGGCGATAGCACTGTGGGTTGGCATTGCGTTGGGGGTCAGTTTTATTAATGAGCACGTTATGTATTTAACATTCCTAAACGAAATTGAAGGTCTAGGTGTAACAGGGCCTATAATAGGCCTACTTTTTCAATTTAAAAGTATATTCACAGGGTGCTCGTCATCCTTGTATTGGCACCCTTGCATTGCAAATTGTATTAGCAAATCAATAAAGCTTACTTGCATTAGGCCGAAATTGTTATTATGCGACTCAAACTTTAGCAAAAACGTTCGTTGATCAAATTCTCAATCCATCTCCAGATAGTGACGGCACAAAAATGAAGGTTGTATAAAAAAATGGCAATGATGGAGAATTGCGGACATGAATGGGTACCGTAGTACCGTATAACTCCACAGTTTAAGGCACAAACAGAAAATGCTCTGTCTTCGTATGATTTTAGCATAAGATGGAAAGTGCTAGCCCGAGAAGATAGAATATACAGATACGTTGAGGCGCAGACTGACCAATAGTAAATAAATACAAATTGTAATTTAAATAAAATAACCGTACCTTAATTCAGTCCACTTGTTCACTCCTAATTCGCTCCAGATGCCCTGTAACTCACATTCAACCAGCATTTAAATATTCTCTCTGAATGTAGCCTATGAGAGCCTTTAATTTTCAATGCGAACTTGGCTTTCACTGATCTTCTTGAACTTTTGCTAGGCCTACTCATTCGCTATTGTATCAAGTACTTTTGTTAACGTTATACGTCCTTGATTGATTCGCGGCATATAATCCCAGATTTGTTGTGATTGAATATTTTTTGTATATATTCATGGAATTAAATTTAATTATTTACTGCCACATGAGCTATTACAGTCTTTGTCTGCTAAAAATAATCATATAACGTAGGCTTACATTATCTACCGTTTAATCAAGAATAAGGTACCGTACAACAAAAGAAATGAAACCAAATATAAAACACAAAACCATTAAAAACACACCGTAGACAATTTGCAATTGATGGGTTTGGGATTAGGCAGAAGTAGGCAGAAAAAGTAGGCCGAAAAAGAATTGAAGATTAAAGTTCGACATGACGAGAAGAAAGACCTTGTGTCAAGAAGATCTCAACAACGTTCACTTCGGATCCAAACCAAAGTACGGGCCGCGTTTTCGAAGCGCAGAACCCTCTGCAGCGTCCTTATTCTTACATATACTGATTCCATTTTCTGATCGCCTCCGTAGGTTTTCGATCCGAAAATTAACAATTGAGAAAATAAACCTTAAAAAGTAGAATAAAATTACTTTTTTTTAATTTATACACAGATAAAGAAAAAAAAAAAGGTTTTCATTGATCTACAAATGTTCATTGTTAAATTTCTTGTTGGAAACAACCCACCTGTTGTTACAACAGTCTTAAACAAATTCCAAGTTGTGATTGGATATTCTAGCCTAAACTATAATTATCTATACACACATTAACATCCCATTCAGAATTAGGAATTCGTTTAAGACTGATGTAACAAATAGCTATTAACTGTATGTATTTTAAATTAAAAGCAATCTTTCCTGAATGGAGGATTTATACAACATGATAGATTGGACTGAGAATATGAGGACCTAGGCCTACTTGGAGTTATAGCATTTCTTGTAAACGGTAGTGTTCCTAGTATTATATACCGGTTGTTGTTAACGAATATACCCTCGGTGCTACCTGTTAATAAAAGGTATTTCTGTTGGGTATTCCCCGAACTCCTCAAAATCTCCGAGAGCCTGGATTAGGAATAGAAAGCGGTCGACTCTTCTTAACAATGCATTGAATAACGGCATGACTAGGGAAACATAAAATTATTTGAGAAAACCTTTAAAAAAAATATTGGCGTTCATTAGTGTATTCCTAAACAAATTAAAAGGGATTTTTCAAATCTAGATTGATCCTGTTTTATCTGTTCCATTCTCACGTAACAGTAATAATAATAGGCCATAGCCATGGTCTAAACTGAAACTTTTACCGCACACAAAAGGTACACGATTGTTTCATTGTAATAAAACCAAGTGCACTTCCGAGTTCCAAACCAAATTCCAAAATAACGGCATGACCTGGGAAAAATAAAATTATTTGAGAAAACCGCAAAAAATTATTGTATTCCTAAACAAATTAAAATGAGTTATTTAAAATCTAGATTGATCCTGTTTTATCTGTTTCATTCTCACTTAACATCTAACTTAACATTCTCAATAATAGGCCATAGCCATGGTCTAAACTTTTACCTCACACAAAAGGTACACGACTGTTTCATTGACACAGGTGTAATAAAACCATTATTAATAATTATCCCAAGTGCAGTTCCGAGTTCCGAACCAAATTCCGAAAGGAGTTTGCTTGTGCCAGATAGAGGACATTATTATTAGATTCTATATATGCCTACCAAATAGTCATTTTAATTGCGAAGTATATGCCTTTAAAAGGTGAAGTTGGGTTACGGATAATCGCGTTGCTTGGAAAATCCTTGCACTTTGATGTTGTTGGCTAAACCTCACCAATACCTCCGCAATTGTGTATATTTTTACCAGTTCAAAGCTTTATTCATGATAATTTCATAATTTTCATAAACTTGCTGTCGACATTAATACTGTACTCTTGGAATTGTTTTCTAGCAATTTGCATCTATTGTTCAGGATTCCTTGATTCCTCTCTTTTCACAATATAAAGGAGTCCTACAAATATGTCTATATCGCTCGATGGTTTAGCAATGAAATAGGCCTATTGAACTTATAGATGAGTTAATCATGTTATTTTGTACATAGTATCTACATGATGAATATAATAGAAGCGTCCTCTTGTTTAAGGCAGTTTTTAAACAGTTTAAATGCCAATAAGCATTTAAAACTTTGAATCTTACAGTATTCAATGAATCATTCCTGATGATAGGTACTGTCTTTTAAAACTTCCTGAGGGCGCTTCAATAATTCTACCATGGAGGATTCCTCCATTCTACATTATTAAAATTGAAGCTTGAGGTTACTACGTAAGCTTCCGCAGAGTGTAAACAACGAAGTTCGTTTGCTTAGCTCCAAAAAAGTCTGAATTTCAAGTATTTTTTATTGTGATGTCTCATTGAGTATTTATGATATCTACAGAGGGATATCTGTCGATTAGTTGTTCAAATGTGGTTTATTGTTGTCACGGTTGCTTACGGAAACTGAGTAAGAAACAGCGTCTTTGTCCCGTTTGGGCCTTGCTCTTTCCGGACAATGCTTCTTATCCTCACTTGAGAGGGCTCATAACTCTTCGCATTAATTGTCGACGACATGGGCCTAGCGGAAATGGCGAAATGACAAAATGTGTAATGAAATCGTTCCGTTAACAATGTTAATCTACACATTTAAAAGAACATTTTCAACTGTTGGATGTTGTCAGCAAGTTAACACAGAGACTTGGAAAAGTCGACGATTATTTTTGTCAACAAATGGAAGTCTTATGAAGATAAACAAACTATTTTCTATATTTTTTATACTTTTAATTTTCAACTTTCATTTTACCGTCATCGAAGGAAAGTGTGGGGATAGTGGCAGAAGCATTTTAACTTCTTTTAGTGGAGTTATTTCTGATGGCAGTAACAGTTATGTTGAAAAAAGCCAGTGTGAATGGCTTATCCAAGGTGAGCATATCAAAACTAGGCTAGGCCTAATAATAAAATATTTGTCAAATTTTATTAAAAGTAGTTAAATTTGTAATCAGTCAGATGTTAACATTGTGGCCTAGGCCTATAGCCTAACAAATATAAGATTCCATTTTACAATATCTGTTTTACCATGTGAAAGCATTCATTGTCTCTTTCCAGCACCTAATAATAGAAGCAAGATTGTACTTCAATTCAGTAGTTTCGAGACTGAATGCACATTTGATTTTCTGTTTGTATATGATGGCGACTCTTACACAAGCCCACTAATTGCAAGTTTGAGTGGTGATGCCATTCCAGAGCTCATTGTTGCCAAGTCGGGCAAGGTATGTAAAATTATACATGACCGTTTTACTAAAGCCTGGCACTCACTGCTTTGTACGACTCGTACGACCGCCGGCTGACAAATCTTCACTCTCTGTGAGCGCTAAAGACGGTGCGACGTCGTTTGCTGATGTCGATGGCAGTCTGAGTGGTTCATCAATAAAGCAATCTATTGTGCACGCGTCATGGTGTTGCATTTTCTCCATAGAAAGAGCATCTGCCAACAACCGAGTGTTCGTACAGTCGTAACATTGCGCCTTTGTGTTGTGGATCACGCACATATTCCTGTCCCTGCTTAAGTGTGTTGTGATTAGCCAGTTGTTACTGTAAGTTTAATTGACACTGAAGGTCCATTGCTAGTGATTTCCAATTTTTTGGTGACAAGTAGCATCACCAGGGTTTCTATACTGGCTAGTATTACAAACATAATAGAAGTCCCTATTTCAATTAACAGATTAAAAACATAAGAACTCCTTTGCCACTTATACAGTATCCTCAAAGCATTTTAAATACTACAGTCTATTATTGTATAATTAATGTAATTATTATTATATTATGATTGTAATCATCAGTGTCGTAATTATTATTATTATTATTATTATTATTATTTTTATTATTATATTTTTATACACATTTCTTTCACCCAATTGGTACATACTGTACCACACATGTACAATTACTGATACAACAGTTAAGTTAATTTTGAAGCAAATATGGTGCAAAATTAAACTAAACCTATACCTTCTTGTTTAATTTTATGCATTCAAAATTAGAATTGATTCACAGAGTAAATTGATTTCTTACTAAATTCTTCCGGCCTCAGTGTTAAATCAAAAATTCACTTCAGGCCCTCTGACCAATTTTTATGTTTTTGTTTAGTTTTAATTTTGCTTGTCTGTACATTTGAATGCCCAGAGTAATGATTGTGTTAGTGTTTCCATTAAGGATGTTTTGGCCCCCACATTTCAACAGGCATTAAAGTGGTATTATGATTTAGCCAGGTAAATTTACTTTTTGCCTTGGTCAAAAATTTTGCGAACAAGGTTTTAGAGCCTTTTTTCATATATGAATTAATCACCACAAAAAAAGCTTTATCTTAATATTATTTTAATTTCAGATGCTTGTAGTGTTGTACAGTGATAGCAACTATGTTTTAGAAGGCTTCCAAGCAACGTATCACATTCAAAATTGCACATTGGATTGTTCTGACCATGGCACGTGTGTAGATAACACATGCACGTGCAACAGTGGCTATGTAGGAGAATGGTGTCAGGCACAAGGATGCCCCAGCAGTTGCAATACACCAAATGGAGAGTGTAATGTTTTCACTAAGGTAAGTACATTTTGTTCAAAAACTTAAGCACACGGTCCATGTTGTTTGTTTATTTTACACTGGGTAGCAAGTAATCTCAGGACATCATTTACTACCAACTACCGTTCTGTATTCATAAGCCCATCCCATACTTCACTCAGCTTACTTTTATAAATTTCTTTCAGAGAAAAAAATATGACTTTGAATGGGGCATGGAGTTTTAAAAAAATTGCCTTTTTATTCTGTAAAATTGATAATTATTTTGTAAAATGAGGATTCTCCTGGGGCTGGCCCCCAAAACCAACCCAAATTTCATTGGTATGTGCTTACTGTATGCCCAAGGACCTATGATACATTTTTCGTGAGTTAGCAGACTTCTCAAGTTTAGTAAAATGCATTTCAGTAATCACGTATTTAAATATCCGTAGTAAATACAAAATTTCCGTAGCACCTAATAATTTGTCTTGGAGTGCAAAATATGGGTTGCTTAAATTGAAGGTACAGGGTGAAAACAGCTGTGGAATTTCAAACAAATGGGACAAGATGAAGATTTACATTCCACTTTTTTTAGTTTTCACAGTAATTGATCAAAAATCTGACAAATACAAGTTGTCTAGGAACAGTGCATTCAAAGATCCTGATGGAAAAGTCATTTGTTTTGGCCTAGACCTACATACATTTATGGGTCTAGGCCATGATAAATTTCTGTAGTTTTTTTGTCTATTTCCAAGCATCCCTAATTAGGCAAAATTTATGTACTGTAGCAACTATGGAAGTTCTGTATACCTGAGAAGAGTGTCAAAACTGTGCTCAGGTGCAGACGTCGTTCACAAGAGTGATTGTTGCTCAATGGTTAATCTGCAATAGTGGCTCCTCGATTAACCACTTCCAAACCAACTAATGTTAACCTTTAGTAGGCCTATGTTAAAAATGTATGTCTTTATGGCGCCTTAATAAAAAGATAATGATTTTAGCTTGCCTGGCTAAACTCAGTTTACCAGGAGAGAGATGTTTTTGTTAGTTATTAACTGCCTTTTTATCAAGGTCATTTATGCAGAAAGTGGTTGTTTTCTCGCCTAGCAACTAAATGCTACATTGCTATAGTGCCTTTTCATTAAATATGTGGCTTTGTTGTTGAAAAATCCGGGCTGACGTGCTTCGCTTACCTCATTGCACAGACTGTGAAAATAATAAACATTTAAAATAATTAATATGAATCATAATAATTTAAACAATGAAAATATATTAGGCAATATTAATTATGATTCCATAAGGCCCAATAAAAATTATTAGTTATTATCCCTGCCTTCTATGTAAATAGTATTGGGGGTAAAAAACATTTTGAAAAAGAGTAAATAAGTTAAGTATGCTTGTACTATCTCAATCATTCATTTTACTTTTAAGTCATTGGCAGTGATATTTGGCTTTAGCAAAATAAAAAAAAAAATTAAAAGCCTCCCTCCCTCATCAATTTCCAGCCTAGATAGGCTGGTTGATAAACTAATAAACTAATCATGATTTTATAGCGCCTAGGGAGTACTGTACTGTTCTAGCTACATGTAATGGTGGTCAGATTATGTTTTGGTGATCCTTTACTCACATTTGCTGGCACCAATGTGGGTCCCATATCCTTCACTTCTTAATATTAGGAGTTGTCAGTAGGAACTCCACCATGTGCAAGGTAACTCACCCCTGAAACCGCCCTCACCAGGGTTATAATTTCCTTATAATTTTAATTGAAGATTTTGTCAGTCAAAATTTAAAGAGTCAGGCATTATTGATTTAATAAATGTTTTTTTCTAGTTATAGTCCTGTTTTATTTATAAATATATAACCAATGTGTACTGTACTTGCTTGCCATTCCAACAGTCAACTGAATGTGTTATAAATGCATGATTATTTGAAAATAATATTTGTTTATTTATGTAATTATAAAGTGTAGTTTATCCCAATTCATTACCCTTTTCTACAGCATTCAAATATCAATAGTCAAGTTCGGAAATTAACTATGTATCAGTGTGCAAGAATTAATCATCTACATCTAAGCTATGCAACTAGACACTGGTACAGCACAATACCCAGTCAGGGGCCTCCAATTGATTTTCTGGTTATTGTTGTCATGGCAACTTGGCCAGCCATTCGTATATAGACAATAATTGTATTGCTAATAAAATTGTTTATGTAGAATTGACTGTAAGGTATTTGATGCTACATTGCTATTTATCTGGTTTGGCTCACCTAGTTTATATTTAGACCAACCTTACCTAATGTTTCTATAGATGTGCGATCTGATCTCATGTTTTCATTATTTAGCCCAACAGGAGGCTTGAGATTTCTTTAGAAAATCTGATTAATGTAAACATTAATGGATTCATTATTATTATCTCGTATCTTGTCTCCATGAATATCACAATGTGCTAGGCTGAGTAAAGGCTTGGTCCATACTATCAAATTTAATTTGACCAAGTTTTGCGTGATGTGCCCATACGGTATGCATGATGATGTCAATTACTGTACACCCAAATATGGGCATATCACATAATTGTTTGATCGTGTAGACGAGAGTTTTAAATAAATAAATTAGGGTCGTTCAAATCACTGTATTATTACCTGGAGATTCCTAACAAAAAGGTGTCTTGCCAGTAATGTATTTTTGCTTAACTACAGTAACACTCACAAATATCGCTTCTCTGTTATTTGTTTGCATGTCGATCCTCATCTGGTAATCAACTTTAGGATTATTGTAGTAAATCATTGATAGTTTGCTGATCCTATTTTTAAAATGGGCAACTTAATGGTTTATTTAAATTTTTTGATGGATTTTTTTTTTCAGGATTTACCATAGTAAGAACATGTGTACAGTAAATATTTTGCATACTGTAAAGTGAATTAATTTCAATGGTTTTCTATTGAATACAAAAAGCCTCATAAACTTCAATGAGGTAAGATGTGTATAAGAGACAGGTACAGGGTGAAAAAATGCTGTCTCTTATACACATCTAGATGTGTATAAGAGACAGATCTTATTGAGTACTCTATACTATTTTTTTTCCCTACCTATGCAGGTATGTGAATGTGCAGAGGGGTTTGTTGGTGAAGATTGCAACTTCCAAACAGCAAGTAATGATGGAGGGGCAACCTTCTATCTCCTTTCATCCTCCATTAAAAATGAATTCACTGGTAGGACAGGCCATGCAGGAGCATTCCATAAAGACAGCAACTCTCTCTGGATTTTTGGAGGTAAATTCTAAAAATTAATTTACATTGCTATTCTTACAAACAAAATACCACTGATACAACTAATATATCCATTTATTTATTAAAATTATTGTCATATATATCACGTTCTTTGTTGTCATCATCAGTGTCATTTTTTTTTTTATAATGAATTTGTTGTTGAGATCTGTCTTTAAAACAATTTACTAAATACCAACTATATTTATGTATCCCATTTTTGGGGCATTGTAAACCAATTATATCTAATTTTAAATTTATATAATTAACGGTTGAATTATGATAATTTTCTTTTTTAAATATCTATTTTCAGGTTTTGATTTGTATAGTGCTTTAGACAGTATAGTTTATTATAATTTCACCAGTAATAAATGGCAAAGAGTTTCATTTGATAGTGATTCCATGAAACCGGTGAGTTATTCTGTACTCAGGAACCTGTAGTTATAGCAATTAATGTGTTTAGGGGTAGAACTTAAGCCCATAGCTACTGGGGCTCGAGGGGTTCAAAAGAACCCCCCCCCCCTCCTTTTAAAGAAATTCCTTTTTATGTTATTAGTGTAGTAAAAATGTACCATTTGTATAGAAGTTATTGGAATTAACTCAAAATTGTTGTATTTAAGTCCCATTTCTGGGCTTATTTCCCCAAATTATCATGGGCTGAGGCGGGTGTGGACTCTTAAAGTGTCTATTTGTGGGAAATTAGAAGTTAAAATCCCTCTTCCCCACCCCTCTAAAAATACTGCATACAGGCTTGGTGTTATAATTGTTACCAATTGCTTGTATAGTACTATTCTTAGCAGTTTCAAAGCGCTGTTTTCACCACTTTCCACAGTAAGTCCAAGAGGAGGAACCATTTATGAAGTTGGGGACAGGGGTCATTTTTAAAGTAAATAAAACAATGAAAAATGATAACGTGGTCTCTTGGCATTTGGCTGCAAAAACAGGACCATTTTGAGCTTACAATACAGTACATGACTGCAGCCATAACATCACACCTTTTCCTTATTGGTTGTAAATATTGTAGCAGTGATCTAAATCTATATGAATATATTATTTTTATAAATTATTCTATTATTTCAGGCTGCAAGGTATGGCCACACAATGACACTGTTCAACGATATGCTAATTGTTTTTGGAGGATCTTTAATTAATGGTACATTAGTTAACGACCTTTGGCAATTTAGTATCCAGTCGCAGCAATGGACTTTATTAGATGAGGGCGTGCTCTCTTCAGCACCTCTGCCAACTACCGACCACTCAGCAGTACTAGTAGATAATACTACTTTATATATATTTGGTGGTAAGTATAACTTTTGACTGCACAAAATTAATTGAAATAGAGGTCATTAATATTATTCTTTATATTATTAATAAATTTGTAACATTTTAATTAGGTATAACACCAGGATCATATGCAGTTAGAAATATGTTCAAGTATGACCTTGCGGGTCAAATTGGATGGGAAGAAGTCATTCCAAGAGGAGGTAACATACATGAAGTTGGGGTCACAGGTCATAGCTGTGTCTATCATATACATTCTAAGTCACTTGTGGTTTTTGGAGGTCTTCGTAAACTCAGTTTGAGGTAAGAATTAATGTTGTTTGATAACAAATTTATTTGGAGTGACATAGCTGTACTGTTGCTAGTTGGTTAAGATTTTTACTTATGACCAAAAACAACTGCACTTATAAGACAGTTTGTAAAAAATGGCAGACCAAGGCTTAGGTGGAGAAATTACCTCAAAACATATAACAAGTAGTGGAGACAGGCACCAAGAGACAGACATCAAAAGATATCTTCAGAAAAACAAACTTGTGTTGTCCAAGCCCACTAACCCAATATTCTGAAAATCAAACCAAAAATGTCTGTGAGTGAACTGCCTGATCCCGGTGAAGGTCATGCTATTACTTCAGCAATCCTTGGTCCATGTACAGTATCTAAATAAATTAACAAAATATAAACAAAAAGGGTTTAAATGATATTAAGAGATTTAATAATTGAGCAACACATTTTGTAAGTCAAAAACCTGAACATCAGCTAACTCACTGAACAATAGCTGGATTGGTCACTCTTTAAATATGGTTCAAACTAATACATCTTTTTTTTTTCTTTCCAGGGCCAGTTATAGGACCAATGATATATATTTATTTCACCTTGAAAAATTGTATTGGCAAAAATTATACCTTGATGGGAGTAGCAGTGTGCATAAAAGAGCATTCCATACAGCCAACATAATTGGAAATTACATGGTTGTGTATGGTAAGTCAGAAACATTAGCATTTAGATTAAGCCTAAGAAAAATTAAATTGTGTTGCCCAAACCCACTGGATGAATATTTTGGAAAATTAAACCAAAATGCATTTGGTGAGTAATAATTAGCAGTAAGGCCTCAAGTGTTTTATAAAAAAAAAAATTAAAAAACTTGACTGACAATGATTTCTGAATGACACTATGCTTGGGCAACACAACACTGTTTTTTATTGGCCTTGCAAAGTAATATATTAATTATTTTATTATTTATTTATTTATTCCTTTTTTTAAAATGTTATTTTACATACTACTTTATACAAATGTGTCCTACATTGGAAAATCTTCAGTTGTTAATAGTTTTTTGCCTTGTAGCTGAGTTGGTAGAAATACAATTAAAGTGCAATCCGTGGGTCTTGATTGCATTTTGTTGATGAGAAGAAGATACATTTATATACTTTATATATACATACATCATGGATGGCAATGTTCTTCACTTCTCATTTTCTTACTTTGGCACCAACTTCTATTTTCAAAAATTACACAACTTACAGTTCTCCAACACTTTAATATGTGAAATCTAAATAACATTTCTAAAATCTACCAATATATTCCAAGTCTTAATATGTGAAAGATCCTGCTTTAACTAAGCTTTGCTCTCACGTTGTGTTTATGAAATCCCATATTCAGGATGTGATAATATATAGACCTTTAAAATTTTACAGGAGGCAATGGTTTCATTGACACATCTGACACGGTCACCAATGTGCAGGTGTGCTATTCTAATGATATTTTACTGTTTCACTTTGGATGTCATCAGTGGGTTTTATGGGATGACATCATACAAGATTTTTCTCCAAGTAAGTTCATAATTGTATTTAACTAAATAAACCATTTAAGCCACGCTTAGCTTATTTACGATGGAGTGAATACGTTGGAGAGTAGCTGTAGTATATTGATAACACAATACTTCAGCTGTTCTACAAATCAATAATGGAAAGTGTTCTGGTATACAGATGTATAATTTGGTGTAGTAGCTTCTGAAATTCGACCTCCATAATGTTCAATGTCTTGTTAGTAAGGCCTGTAGATTGTTTAAGCAGTCTGTTGTTATTGAAGACATGTAAAAAGAAAATCCACGACAAAGTACTAGCAATTATGAAAGATAAAAATCACCTACTCTATAGTGATTTTGAATGGCTAAGATCTGGTCGACGTTTTAGAGCAAAATGCTGCAGGACAAAATGTTTTTAAAGTTCATTTGTTCCATATTCTATTAGAGTTTTTTAATGAGTCTAACGATTTTTAGGCAGTAGATTAAAATCACATTTTATTTGATATATATTTTATTGATGTTCTTTGTAAAATTAACTAACCTTTGAGTAAAGGAAAGGACGAATAAAGGAACTACAGTATGAAATATGAGATCTTGTACAAAGTTTCTAGCAATCAAACAGAATCGCATCAAACTTGCTACGAGCTAATTGGTTCATACTTCACACATGTTTATACAATAATTTTGCTTAATTATACATTTCATTTGCTAAGATCTTTAATTCCAAATGTAAGAATACTTCAGGGTTGGTTGGAGCCTGATTTATTGATTGACTAATTGGCTGATTTATTGATTAACTGACTGACTGTTGACAGGCTGAATTGTTGAATGACCGATTGATTAATTGACTGACCAGCCAATCAGAAGGTTAACAAACCAAATGACTGGTCAACTGGTTGACTGACCAACTAAGTGATTGATTAATTGTTTGATTGATTAATTGATTGACTGACTGACTGACCAGCCAACCAGAAGGTTAACAAACCAAATGACGGTCAATTGCCTGACTGACTGTCCAACTAAGTGATTGATTAATTGTTTGATTAATTAATTGATTGACTGACTGACTGACTGACCAGCCAACCAGAAGGTTAACAAATCAAATGTCTGGTCAATTGGCTGACTGACCAACTAAGTGATTGATTGATTAATTGACTGACTGAGTAGCCAACCAGAAGGTTAACAAACCAAATGACAGTCAATTGCCTGACTGACTGACCAACTAAGTGATTGATTGATTAATTGACTGACTGAGTAGCCAACCAGAAGGTTAACAAACCAAATGACGGTCAATTGCCTGACTGACTGTCCAACTAAGTGATTGATTAATTGTTTGATTAATTAATTGATTGACTGACTGACTGACTGACCAGCCAACCAGAAGGTTAACAAATCAATTGGCTGACTGACTGACTGACTGACCAACTAAGTGATTGATTGATTAATTGACTGACTGAGTAGCCAACCAGAAGGTTAACAAACCAAATGACGGTCAATTGCCTGATTGACCAACTAAGTGATTAACTGATTGATTAATTGACTGATTGATTTATTTTTTTTTCTTTTCAAAGATACGGATTTTACAATAGATGATGGCCGTTTTGGGCACACAGCATCAGTGCGGGATGACAACACCCTCCTTATTGTGGGTGGTTACAGAGGAACTGTTCTCAAAGACCTGATTGCATTGAAAATGCCAGGCTCAGTAGCAACCCACCCTCAAAATGGTACATCCCAGTGTTTCAGGCATACAAGGTAAGCTGGTATTCTTGCAACCATATTTCTATCCTGCCTGAGCAAAGAAATTATTGTACTGGAAACACCACTGCCTGCCAGGGTGGATTTAGCTCAGCTGGCAGATTTGTACTTTGAAGTTTGCTGGTTCAGCTACTGCGATTCATTTCTGTTCAACACACAATGCTGCAAGGCAAGGGCGTATACTGTGGTTTGGAGTTTCCCTTCCCTTTTTTCCAATTACTGTACATCTGTTCATATAGAGACCCTCATAATTTGTGCAGTTTTAACCTTTTGAATATTCATTCTAGAAACTTTTGTTGTTTTTAATTACATTAAGTTAATTTAAAAGGGAATTTCATATACAGTACCGGATTCCTAAAAATTAAATATAAATTTTTCCACCTCTTAAGTCTACAAGATAATTAACTGCCTACACCATGTACTACTGTATGACCAGGAACTTTATATCATACAATTTGTAGACATTTAAAGTAATCCTTAAAAACATATTTCTAAGATTGATTTATTCAGAAGCTAAACACCAATATGAATTGAACATGTTTTTTTTTTATTTTTTAGCAAATCAACATGCTTGGACAATCCTGATTGTGGGTGGTGTTCTACTAATAATTCATGTACTTCTTACAATGATAGTACGGTGAGTTGTACTTTTTTTTCACTGACAGTGTGCCAGTATACTAACATAATGTTATGTGAAGATAGGTTACAAAAAGAATAATTTGTTTGAATATAATTTCTTAACCTTAGTATGGACTGGTATATACTGGCATGTACAGGTTTAAACTGGTATAAACTGGTCTTTATTGACGCATATTTTAAGAATAAGAAAAATGTTTTTACTGATGTTCCAAGAAGACAATTAAAGAGGTAGCAGAAGATCATATCTGATCCTCTAATCCTTTTTATTGTACATGTGTGAGGTAGTGGTACAATGCCTTATGGCTAGTTAGGAGAAGTGGCGGCTCTAGGATATATTTTCTGGGGAGGGGGAGGGGCTAAGCTGTCTGACAGGGGGACTTGAGCTCGTAGGCTCGAGCTGAAAGAAGAGTTTGAGAGGGGATTCCCCCTCCCTAATGAGATTTTTTTTAAAAATAGGAACCTCTGGATGGTCGGAAATGGCACACGCAGACTGTGACAGACATGTGTTGTGTGGACCTATTTTTATATTTTTTATGGTCTGACAACCCGACGAGCTCTGTCCGACGGGGCCTTGACCTGTACAGAGTTGGGCCTTCAGGCCCCCTGCCCTCTGCTGGCACTGCCACTGGTTAGGAGGCTTATTAATGAACTTCTCATGTTGTACTAAGAACACTACATCATATATTTGTTACTTCTTTGCAACAGAATTGTACTTCATTTGAAGCAGCAACTTGTACCAGTGTTTGTTCTAGTTTGACCTCATGTGAGAGCTGTCTAGTGTGGGGTCAAGGGTTACAGGATGACCAGGCTGGAAGTAGGGTCAACAACAGGTGTGGCTGGTGTGTCCAGGAACGCTCTTGTCAAAATGTTGATGGTATGTTGTTAAAAATAGTTATCAATTATAATTAATTGAAGTTCATGAACAGATCAATTATACTTAAAGCCCAGTTTTTTGATAAATATTTCCTCATCAGTTTTCAGCATTTTTGAAAAAATAACTTGCATGTGGGCACACATGGGTATTTTCTAAGTATTTTTTGAATTAAAAAAAAATGATGTCTTCAGTATGAGATATATTATTTTTGTACACTAATATTAGATACCCTAATACTAGTATTTCAGGGCTGAAAACAACATTTTTAGTGAAGCCACAAATAAGCCCTTGTCGATCAAAGAAGAGAATAGACTTTTACTAAACTTCAAGCCTAAGCAGAGCCTATTGTTTCAATTAAAGAACAGCATTTTTTTTTTGTCAGACTTGTTGGGAAGATGTAGTAATGCAAGAACAGAGACACCAACCCCATGGTGGGGCTCAACTGGAGTATTTCTTCAATCTTTTGACCATTGTAGGACAGAGGACAAACCGCCTGGAATCACAAGGCTAATATATAGACATCCAATCAATGAAAGCTACCCAGATGAGGTACTTGGATGATTATTTGACAATTCGTCCAAAGATTATACAAATACAGTAGCATTGGCATGTTTAGGGGGCGAACACCCCCCAAAAATACTCATGCCCCATCAAAATACTGTACTGTATAACCTTTTACATGCTGGGTGTGTTGAATTTTTGAATACCTATTTTCTATTTTAGGTGTCAATTCTTTCCAGTACCAGTTCCTCATTTCGCCTACCAATAGATGTTGCCGAAGGGATTGCAACTGGAAAGGCAGTGTTCTGTGGATTTTTACACCCATTGGGAGCATCTGGGCTAAATGGTGGTGACGTTCAAGTCTGGATGACATCATCCTCTGCAACATCTTTACTTTATTTCAGTACAGATGATACTGTTGCAAACAAGGTGAGCCGTTGTAGTGTATGTTAAACCTTGTCCACAAAAATATTTTTATTTAGTTTTCTTGAATGGTTTTAGTCATGACATTCCACCTATCATTTGTCCATTCTGAGGTTCACATTAATTTAACTATTAATGATATAAACTCAAACATTTGGCTTCCAATAACCTTATTTTGTACTTCAGCATTTTTTTTTAAATAAAAGACACCAATATTTTTATTTTACTAATTCAAAATAATTCATAATTTTATTTATTTTGTGTGTGTGTCTACTATTTTATTTTGTATTAGTAATTATTTGTTTGTTCATGTTTTTCTGATAGACATTTAATTTTCAGTATTCATAACAATTTAACAATTTTCTGTCTATTAAATAGACAGAAAAATTGAAACCCCCAAAAAATAATATCACTTTCAGCTAAGAATACATGGTTAAAGATGAAAATGCGAGCTATAAAATGGTAAAAGAATCATTTTAAATCCTACATTTCCTTATGAAGTTACAAACGTTTGAACATACAGCTGTTTAAAGAACAATATTTGAGAAATCAGCCTTCAAAGTTTATGATTTTGGGCATTTCTTAGGCAGAAACCATCACTAAATTGTTAAAAATTGTTGTTTTAACATTGAAAATAATGTATAATAATTTAGTGCAATAAAATAGATTTTAACAATTTTGACATTTCAGCATGTTTTAGCCATAATATCTCTGAAACACAATTTGAGACAAATATAGGTTTGGCTTGTCTTTGCCAAATATGTTCATCCTTTTAATTTCAGCATATTCATAATTGTAATTTACTTTTCTTTATAAAGGAGCTTGTTGCTAACACATCTGGAAACGTAGAGATTGAGGCTGTACGAGCAAGCGGTGATGCTTTGTTACCTAGGTTACCGGCAGACAGTAAATATTACATCTTCCAAGAAGAGGAGCAAGAAGTGAAATATATAAGGGTTTTCTCGATTATGAAGCTGTCTTGGAATGGCCATATAGAAATGACAGATCATCTTTCCATTGCAATCGAAGATGAATTCTTGCAGCCATTTTACAGCATGGTTTGTGAAGACTACATCACTTGCCTGGCGTGCCTCAGTGACACTAGCTGTGGCTGGTGTTCTGAAAGCAATACATGTGAGCTACGAAATGATACCGGTAGCGTTTGTGTGACACAATCAGATACTTTGGCGTATCTCATCTCAAACTTTGAATACTGTGAAACCTGTAATGCCCACATGTCCTGCGTTGATTGCTTATCAAGCGCATTATGCGAATGGCTTCCAGATACGCTGCAGTGCGTGCGTCGTGGTAGATTTCAAAGTAGCATGGTTAACCAGGACCAGTGCTCAACCCCTTGCCATCAACGGACTAACTGTTCATTTTGCATTACATCTAGTGGTGAATGTCAGTGGTGTGAAAACACACGATCGTGTATTCCGTATGGAGCACACACCTCTGTCTATAAATATGGCCAGTGTAGGCATTGGTACAATAGTGTAATAGAATGTCAAGACTGCACACATTTTAACACATGCAGTGACTGCCTGACGTCCTTTCAGTGTGGATGGTGCGGTAACCAAAATAATCCAACAATAGGAAAGTAAGTAGGCATATAAAAATATAATATAATTTTTGTCTCTGCTAAGGCAGGACTTTTTTAATACCTTTTTTTACCGCTTTTTTTTAGCGAACCCGACTGCAAATATTGATGATTTTGAATAAAAATAAAATTTTATTTTTGGCCAATTAGCGCACCCGTCGCCACAAAAAAAAAAAGAAAGGTTTTTCTTTATATTTATTAGACCCTCCGCTGCCTTGAACAGCTGGCCTTGAAATCTCCAAAGATAAGATATGTATATTTCTTCTTTATATAAATTTGAAGCATTTAACCATCCTATTCTACCTGTACATTCACCAATAAAATTTTATTTTTATTTTCTCCTCCGTCTATGATTTTGGCAAAATTATTTGCTAAATAAGAAAACAAAATTTTATTTTTATTCCGCCCTCCTCCGATAATCTTTAAAAAAATAAGTACGCGAAACAAGAAATTAAAAAAGTCTCGCCTAAAGCCGGGAACTCATTGCGTCTGACGGGCGTTGGCTAACGCAAGTCTATCGAGAATGCACCACGACGTGCATGCACAGATTGTTTTTAATGACGATTCCTTCACTGCCAACTACAATTAGCAGATGGTGTCGCATCGTCTGTCACTCACAGGAAGCTGAGTTGGAGTCTTTGTACGACACAGTTAGTGCCGGGCTTAAGGTGCACTCCGTAACTGTAGATTTGGTGTCGGCCATCTTCGATGTTGTCATAACCAGATGAAGTAGGGTACATATTCACTACTTGTTAAGTGCTTTGTTTATTGACTCGCCTTATATTTTTTTTCTAGTTGTCATTCCGGTGATTATACTCAGCCGTTTTCCGGCACTTCCTGTGAATCCCTGATTGCGTACGACTACAACATCTCTGCCAGTGAGCCTGCCGACTGGTCTTACCCAATATGCCCGGAAGTAGAAGAATGTCGACTGGGTTTGGACAATTGTCATACCAATGCCTCCTGTATAGACACTTATGAATCTTTCGATTGCGAGTGTAATCGCGGATACAAAGGAGATGGTGTACTGCACTGTAATAAAACGTAAGTAATGGATTTTTTTAATCAAATGAATAAAGCATTGATTCCAACACAATAAATAAAATACTTGCATAGAATTAATTTTATAATAATAATAATGATAATGGTAATAATAATAATATTATCTAGAATTTATGTGGCACCAAATCCAAACAACATCAAAGCGCAACGCATGTGAATAGCCACTGGAAAACAGAGGTCTTCAGCCTTGACTAAAAGTTGCAAAGAGAGTTAGAATAAGTTATGTTAATTTTATAGCTGGTTCCAAAAAAAGGCATTTTTTTTATCTGTCAATGTATATGTAATTTTTTCATGAATTATAACAATATTGGAATATGCACCCCAAAACCTTTTTAAGATGTTGTGGGGATTTTATTCTTCTGAGAATGGAGCAGTGAAAACGATTCTTCTGCTAGTTTGCTGTTTTTCTTGTTAGTTGTAATGTTTTAATTAAATACTGAAATTGTATATATATATTTTTTTAATAATTCAGTAGTTCAATGTAAAAAATTACATAAAACTTTACAAGGGCTAAAGAATATTCTACGTTATTTATTTGCATACAGGTGTTACTATGACTGTCACTATGGCCACTGCAGTGGATCACCTGACTATGATTGTATCTGTGATGTTGGATGGACAGGTGTGAATTGCTCAATAAACTGCGGATGCTATAATCACAGCACATGTGTTAATGGCACAGGCTTATGTGATGAATGCCAAGGTATGAAAGTGCACTTTGACATATTGTATGATTTATGCAAATAAAACCATATTCATCATTAGTTTTAGACTGTTTCATGATTGCTATTACATGGGTATGGTAATTTATTTGCTTATTATCAAAATATATAAAATTTTTTACCAAATGACGGGGAGCTGGCAAACACCTAGTTTGTTGGCTGTCGGCCCAGTGCAATGCAAGTCAGCTGATCGTAGGTGAGAGTAAAAAATCTTTGTGAAAAGTGCCATAGTTTCATTTAACTGCAGTGTGTGCTAGGTTTAATATTAACTATTTGTTAATATAATTAACAACTCATGGTAAACATTTTGGTGAACTTTGATAGACCTACATTTGCTGCAACATTTCAATTTGAAAAAAAAACCTTGGTCAAGCCTCCACACCCTTGCACCTTCAGTAGCTTCAGTAGGCCTGCCTATGTTAGCTAGCCTAGAATCGGGAGGGTAGGAGATTAGTCGGAATATTGGAAGAAACCCACCAAAATTGGGAGCTCCAGCTATAATATGGGCTAAAACAAACATAATGGTAGGTGTGATGTTTAAAACGACTGGAAGTCATAAAATCGCGAAAATAAAAGGCCGAAAAATATTTTAAATTGTAAAATCGCGAAAACACAGGGCTTTACAATATTTTTAAAGCATAGATTTAAACTATATAGGATTTGATAATGCCTAATAC